GTGTTAGTTTCTCAAGGTCAAGTATCAATTTTCTATAGCTTTTTACTCCGGTTTTATCTTTAGCATCTCTATTCAAAGCAAGGCGCGCGCATTTTACTAAAATACTCTAATATGAGGTTTTGAATGAAATTAGCTCTGAGAGTCTCGAGCTCCACCTATTCGACCACAACCACCTCGTAGTCACTGGTAAATCCATCAAACAACTTGATATTATTAACTTGTGTACTCGGTCCCCGTTGAAATGGGTCGCGTTTTCGCATCAAGCAAGTTCGTAAGCTCCAATAGCTCTTCACCTTCTAGGCCATGCATCCACAGCGCGAACTTGGCCATGCCCTCGAACTTTGGATCGTTGATGGGTTTGGGCTAAAGCAAAGCCCACCAACAACGAGAACAGTATGGACACACAATCATATACAATTGTTTTGTTTGTTTTTTATTTTATGTTATTTGTTTTTCTTTTTTGTACAAATGTGAGGTTTTTGTCTAACTGAGAAATGGAATTCAACTCAGTTTGTACTAAACAAATGTGTGACACTCATACAATTTAACTCAGTTTGATAGTACTCATATTACCTACATTAGCTAGTACTGAGGAGTTAAACAAATGTGTGCTATTTAACTGAATTCATCATCTAATTCTATAAACGATTTGAGGTAGGTGCCAGCTTTAAGATCATCACCGAATCGTTCGACAATCAAAACTGCTTGGTATAGCTTTTCAATTTGGCTGCAATCGTGCGCTAAGATCACCATCTGGTACTTTAAATTTGTCGGGAAATCTGGGTGGATTCCATTATCGATTTCTTCTACCTGTGCGTTGATGATATAATCATACGTTAGAGACGTATCGGCGTTCTTGTTTTGTTCGCTCAAGGCAAAATTTGCTAACCAAACCACAAAATCATCATTGTTTGGGTTTTCGATTGAGGTCCATACCCCAAGTTCGGCCATGGATTGGAACGAGTTGAAGCTTAAAATGGCTAAAATAAAAGGAAGAACAAATTTAGGCGTCATTGTTTTTTTGTTTCTCGATTGGTTTCGTATGTGGTTTTTCTCGATGTGGGATTTATAGTACATTATTATGGTTTTCTTTTCATGTGGTGAGTTTGATTAGGATTCACATTTAATTATCGGTTAAACACTTTAAGAGCGTACATATGTTACCATTTTCTTTATTAACTCTACTTTATGACCACATTTATTTTCCTCCCCTACTATCAAAAACACAATCTATTTGTTTTGTTAATTATCACTTATATTAGTACAAAATTAAACCGTCTCCGCCAATTTTGTCAAATTTTCATGATTTATGTGATACTAATGTTTCTCATCACAAAAAAAATACAATAACAGGTCCGAGCAGCGACCCGAACTGGTCTCTAAATTAACGATTCAACTAGGGGAGTAGTTAGGAAATTTTTTTACTCGGGGCTGCAAAATATGCAGTTGTTATTCGAACCGAGTTGTCTTCTGACATAGTTCGATTCGACTTCTAAAAGTTCGAGCTTGACTTGCTTGTATATTTAAACAAGTCAAACTCGAACAACTAATCAAGATTGTCTATCAAAGAAGTTGAGTTGAGTTGTTCGCGAATAATTCTGTTAAAATTTTGATTTAAGGCCTGTTAAACGACTTGATCTGAGTTTATACGAGTCGAATCCAAGCTCAAATTTTTAATTATTTGTTTATTAAACGAGCTGAGCCAAAAAAAACTCGTTTATTACCTGAGCACGTGTTCAAACTTGAAATACTCGATTAGAAAAATCTAGTTAGGCACATGTATAAAGAAGTCTAAGTATGAAAATAATTTTTAAATTCAATAGAAATACATGAATCACTCTAATACGTTGTTTCGAATGAATTAGCTCAAGAGTCCCAAGCTCCGCCTGCTCGACCACAACCACCTTGTAGTTACTGGTAGGTCCATCAGCCACCTTGGCCGAGATCACTAGCTTGTACTCGGTCTCGGTTGAAACGGGTCAGGTTTTCGCATCAAGCACATTCGTAAGCTCCAATAGCTCTTTACCTTCTGGGTCATGCATCCAGAGAGCGAACTTAGCTATACCCTCAAATTTTGGATCATTGATGGGTTTGGGCTGGGTTTGGGCTAAAGCAAAGCCCACCAACAACGTGGACAATATGGACACAATCGTATACAAACTTGTGGCAGAATTGTACGCCATTGTTTTTTTTTTTTGTTTTTTTTTT